CTCTCTCTCTCTCTCTCTCTCTCTCTCTCTCTCTATCTCTCTCTCTCTCTCTCTCCTTCTCTCTCTTTCTCTCTCCTTCTCTCTCTCTCTCATTCTCTCACTCATTCATTTTCTCTCCTCCTCCCCCTCTATCCCTCTCTCTTCCTCCCTTCTCTTCCTTCTACCTCTCTCCTCCTCCACCTCTCTCATCCACTATTCCCCCTCTCCCTCTCCTCCTAGCACCTCTCTTACTACCTCTTGCCAGATTCCCTCTCCCCGACTCCACTCCCTACATTCCTGCCACACATGTTCCCATGTCTCCTCCCCTCACCCACATATCCTGCACACTCTCTTCTCCTCTTCCAACCAATACTTCCCTTCACATACCTCATTTTCCAGTCTAAACCTTGCCACCCTCCTACACCTACTTTCCCCCCATTCCTTTTTTAAATATCCTGGTATTCCTTCTTCCCTAATCTCCTTATACCATCTGTTATACTTCGAATCTCTTATCCTTTGCTCTCTTTCCTTTTTCTGCCTCTCCTTAACTTTCCTGATCATCTCTCCAAACCACATTTCCTTTTCGTCTCTCCTTTTTTCAATCTCTTCCATCCCCATTCCTCTTTCCTCAAAAAACTTTCCCCTTTCCCTTTCCCATGTTGACGTCCCCCTTCCCCTCCTCGCCCTTTCCTTTATCTCTTTCCAGCACCTCTTTGCCAACTCACCACCCTTTCCCTCTTCTAGCCTTTTTTCATATCCCCATCCCTGCCCTTATCCCTGCCCTTCCTCTCAATTTCTCTCTTTTCAGTTTCTCTCTTATTATATATCCTGGTGTCTGCCTATTTACTCCCAATATCCATCTTAAATACCTTTCTTCCAGCCTTTCCATTCCTTCCCTTTCCTCCCATCCCCATATTTCCACCCCGTATGCCATCACCGTCCAAACTAACCTATCATACAACCATAATCTCCTCCCCCAATCCTTTCCAAACCTTCTCTTTCCTATCCCCCATACTTGTCCCATTACTGCCGCTGCCCTTTTTACTCTGTTCCTTACCTGTGCTTCCTGTTTTCCATTGCTCTGCATTACATACCCTAGATACTTTATCTCTTTCACCTCTTCCATTTTTCTCCCTTTCCACCTCCAATCTTTCTTTTTCACCCTTCCCCCCCTTTCCTAAATCTTACTATCTTTGTCTTGTCTGGATTTAGTTCCATCCTTTTTCTATCCAAATAACTCTCCAGTCTACTTATCATGCTTCTCATTTCATCCTCTCCTTCTGCTAATAAAACCATGTCATCCGCATATGCCAGCGTATATATCCTTTTCCTCCCTACCTTTACTCCCCCCCATTTAACCTTTCCCATCTCTTCCTCTATATCCGCTAGTAACAGATTAAATAGCAAAGGACTTAAGGGGCACCCCTGTCTCATCCCTCTTGCTGTCCAAAATTCTTCCCCCAAATCCTCTCCCACCCTCACTCTACTTATTGTCTCTCCTAACATCTCCTCTACCCTTTCTATCAATCCGTTCCTAATCCCCCTCTCTTTCATTGTTTCTAACAACACCCCCCTGTCCACCGAATCAAACGCCGCTCTTAAGTCCACAAATAATGCCACCATTTTTCCTCCTCTTTTCCCCACTTGCCTATTTATCAAATAATTTAGTACATATATGTTGTCAATCGTTCCCATCCCTTTCCTGAACCCCGTTTGATTCGGTGGTAAAATTCCTTTCCCCTCCACCTCCTCCCTTAATCTTTCCATAAGCACCATCATATACACCTTGTATAGCGTTGGCATCAATGTTATCCCTCTGTAATCTTCCACCACCTTTCCTGCGCCTCTTTTTATTATCGGCACCATTATTCTTTCCTTCCATCCTTCTGGCCATCCCTCCCCTTTCCATATCCTATTACAATATCCCCATATCCATTCCTCCATTTCCTCCCCGCCATATTTCCACGCCTCCCCTGTAATCCCATCTATCCCTGCCGCTTTTTCCATCCTTTAAATTTCTTATTGCCTCCTTTATTTCCCTCTTGCTTATTCCTTCCTCCTCTTCCCCCTTTCTCCTCCCTTTTCCCTCATTCCCTTTTACCACCCTTACCTCTACTCCCCCCATTATCCTCATGAAGTACTCCTTCCGCTTCTTTATCTCAATTTCTCCCTGTATTCCCCTTCTTTTCTTTCTTTCTTTATTCACTATTTTCCATACTTCCTTCTCTCTTCTAGCTCCCGCCGCTTTCTTTTCCCACCTGTCATTCTCTTCTTTCTTTTTTCGCCTGCATAATTCCTTATACTCCAATTTACTTTTCTTATATCTCTCCTCCTCCCCTGTTCCCTTTCTCCATCTCCTCATCTCTCCTCTCACCTCCCTCTTCTTCTCTTCACATTCTTTATCCCACCACCCCCCTTTTCCTTCTTCTTCCTTATCATGTTCTTTCTCCGTTTCTTTTATTTGCCAATTTCAATCTCCTTTCCAGTTCCTTCCATTCCTTCTCCATATCCTTTGTTCCTAATTCTATCTTTCCCAGTTTCCGCCTAAATATTCTTTTCCCTTCCTCATCCCATCTTCCCCTCCCAACTTTCCTTTCCTTTTTAGCTCCACCCTTTTTTCCTCCCTTTCCTCTTATTCTCACTTTTACCGGTTGATGATCTGAGTCTATTTCATCCCCTATTTCCATTTTCTCTATCCTCTCCCTCACTTCCTTATTCCCCATCACATAGTCTATAACCGTGTTGCCTTTCCCTCCTGTAAATGTATATTCCCCCTTCTCATCTCCCTCCATATTTCCATTAAACAGGCTCCATCCCCTTTCTTCTACAAATTCTATTAATATCTTTCCTTCCTTATTTACTTTTCCGTCCTTTGATTTCCTCTTTCCCCTTTCCCACTCCTTATCCTCCTCCTCTATTTCCACACGTCCTCCTTCCCTTCCTGTTCTTGCATTGAAATCCCCCCCTATAATCGTTTTTATACCTTCTGCTTCCTCTACCCACCTCTCCAATCCCTGTAATCTTTCCTCCATATTTTTATTCACATACACCCCCACTACCCTCCATCTTTCCTTTCCTTGCTTCACTCTGCCCACTATTATCCCTTCTCTTTCTGTCTCTATCTTCGTCCCTTTTTCTATCATCTCTCTTCTTATTCCCATTATCATTCCCCCCATTGCCCTTCCTTTCCTATTCTTTCTGCTTGCAAATTGCGCTTCCCACACATATCCCCCCGGCAACCTTCTTCTTATCCTCTCCCACCTTTTCTGGTCCATCCATGTCTTCAATAATACTATAATATCCCACTTCCCCAATCCTTTCCAAAAATCTTTATCCTTATTCCCTATACCTGCCACGTTCCAGAATACTATACTCTATCCTCCTCCTCTATCTCTTTCTCCTTTACCCTCTGCACCCCCCTCCTTTACTTTATTCCTTCTATTCTCTCTCCTCTCCCTTTTCTCTGCTCCTCCCCTCTTATATTCCCCCTCCCATCCCTTAATATCTTTTCTTCCTCATCCCAACTCCACCACTGTTCATCTATTTTTATCCTCCCATATCCTACCCATACTCTTCTTCCCTTTCTTTCTTCCTTCCTTGCTATCTCCTCTATCTTCCATTTCATCTTCCTTTCTTTCCATGTTCTGTCCTCTGTTATTCTTTCTCTCCTACCTCTCAGACTTCTCTTCTTTTCCAGAACTTCTCTCTTTTGTCTTTCGTTTCCCAATCTAATTACTATCATCTCTCCTCTCTCTCCCATACCTTCCCCTACCTTTTTGATTTCCTTTATCTCCACTTTCGCTCCAATCTCCCTCAGAATCTCCTCCACTGCCTTCCTCCTCTTTTCCTCTTTATTCCCCTCTTTCACTTCCACTCCTTTTATTATTATATTCCTCCTTCTCTCCTCCCTTTCTTTCCTCTCCAACCTCCTTTCTATCTCTCTTATTTTTCTTTCTACTCCCCCTTTTTTTCTTCTCTTTCTTCTTCTTCCCCCTTCCCTTCCTTTCCTTTACGCCTTTGTATCTCTTCTACTTTTTTCTCCAATTTTTGTATGCTCCTAACCATCTCCCTCTCTATCTGCCATCTCTCCTCCCGCTCCCCCATTCCCTTTTTATTTCTCTTATTTCCTCTCTCATAATCCTTCCTTGTTCCTTTACCCCCTCTCTTACCTCCTCTCTCATCTGTCTTATCTCTTCTTTCCATCCCTTCATCCCTCTTATTTCCTTCATAATTTCCTCCATTTCCCCTTTCCAACTTCTTATTATCTCCCCCATGCCTTCTTCCTCCTCTGCTCTCCCCTTTATTGGTAATCTTGGTGTCTTTTTGCTTTTATTGAACATAGTCCCCTCTCCATCTTCTTCTTTCTCATTCCCTTCCCCCCTTTTCCTTTTTAACATCTCCTCTATGTTCCCAAAACTTCCACCTCTCTCTCTTACTTTTCTTCCCTCCTTTAGTCCCATCTTCCAGTTCCCATCCATCCCGCTTCAGCGCTGCCGTCCCCTTTTCTCCTAGACCCTGTCCCCACCTCTGTCTCTCTATACACTCTATACTTCGTGCTCGTTCCTCCTTTCTATTTTCCTCGTCCTTTTTCCCTTTCACCCTTCTTTATCCCATACCCTCCACACTTCCATTCACTCTCTCACTCTCTCTCTCATTCACCCACTCTCTCTCACCTCACCCACCTTGCTCTCTTCCACTCTTTTTGCTCACAAAACTTTCACTCTCTCACCACGTGTCAACGTCTAACGCACCGGAAACGGAAGTCCGTTCAAATGTTAATACGCGGTTGTAAACACATGCAAATATAATAATAACTAATCAATTTATTAATATTTTTGATGTTACACTAACCTCACTCTCGCGATTGGCGAAACTTATATTGCTTCCTTTGAAATTTATCGCGATGTGTCGACTTGTCGCTGCTGTTGAACAGATGAACCAAATACAAATGCCACTACTGAGAAAGACGTAAATTTTTTCATTAATCTTATGTTTATATTTAATCACTCGTACGATGTGTACAAAAGTATTAGTCACGCCCATAAATATAATAATAATAAATAAATGAATAAATAAACAAATTAATATATAATTTCTTTATTTACTGTAATGTATCATAGAAACTTACGTCTTTCTCAGCAATGGCATCTGTATTTGGTTCATCTGTTTCATT